TGACCTACCCTCTAAGAAAGTACAGACTCGGAACAATTCTCCGACTGCCACGCCAGGGCTCCACATAACATCCCAACGACAAATAAAAAACCTTCCGCGCCCAACCCCGCCCGCCTCAGCGGACACGTGGTCCAGACGGCCCCCTATAAATTTCTAAACGGGTTTGCGCCTGCGCGAGGGTGTGGGCCCGTGGGCCCTGGGATCATCCGTTCCCGTCATTGGAGTTTTATTCAGGGGAGTGGATGGAGCCTGGCTTCGGCGAATTTGCCGAAGACGTCCGCACAATTGGCTTGGTTCCGCCCCTGGTTTCGCCTGGTTTGGCCCGACTGGGCGGCGAACACCACACATACTGATCCACATTCTGCACTCCTGTGCTACAGTATGACAGGCGAAGCGGGTGTGAACATCAGAAGTGCAGCGTGTGCTCCGCCATTGAATCGTATCGCATGGTGCAGCCTTCGCTTAGATAATTTCTCCTGGTGAACGGCATTGGACACTGTGGCGGCGTTCGCAGAAACCTTCCCCCCTGTAGTAGGTGAGCCTGAAGAAGCAGGACGGGCTCGGGAACATTCCTCAATCGGCAGTGTTCCCGCCCCGCTCAGGGCAGGCTCCGTGGCAAGGAAGGAGTTGGAGCCCGAGTCTGCGGGGACGAGCGGCAGAGAGGCGTGGCGCAGGCGGAGAACCACGCAGTCGATAATGATACCCAGATGATCGATTTGTTCAGCTGCCAGTGTCCGTCCTCGTGACTTCCCTGAAGAACCATGTCTCAATCAACGACGGGTACCGCGCGCTTTACGACAGATTTCCCGCTTGTGGCGGGGGCGATGCCTTCTTCGCCAGTCTGGCGCATGCGCATTGCGACCCCCCTGTCATGTCCATCATTGGCTGCGGCGACCTCGCCCCCTGGGCTGGCTTGCGCGACGTCTGCGGCCTTGCCAGCTATGCCTCTGGGCAGGCAACCTGTGTCTCAGCTGACGCACGTGCTTCTTGAAGCGACTTGCGCTCCCCTTCCTCGTCCGCCGCGTTCTCCTCGTTCTCGCCATCCTCCTCGCCATTGTCCTGGTCCTCTTGCCGCTCCTGGTCATGCGTACTCCTCGTCGTCCCTCATCACCGTCCTCGTCCTTCTGCTGCTGCGTCCTCCCTGTCCTGCACCTCTTCGTCTCCGTTGCTCTCCTGCTCCTCGTCCTCTCCGTTTCATTCCTCATCCTTATCGTCCGTGCTTGTCCTCCTCTCGTCCTTTCCCTCCTCGTCCTCGTCGTCGTCGTCGTCGTCGTCGTCGTCGTCGTCGTCGTCGTCGTCTTCGGCGTCGTCGCCGTTTTCGTCGCTGGCCTCGTCGTCGCCGTCGTCGTCATCGTTGTCGTCGTCGTCGTCGTCGTCGTCGTCGTCGTCGTCGTCGTCACTACTGTCGCCGTCGGCGTCCACCCGAGGTTGCCCTGAACCTTCTGGCCTCTGCGCTCACCGTGGTCGGGCTGGCGCTGCAGAAGCAGGCGGCGTCTGCGCCTCCTGGGAGCGCGCCGCGGCTGGGGCACATCGTTCTGTCCAGGAGGTGGCTGCTGCCGCCCTCTCCTCTCTGCTCGGCGGCGAGCCCGCCAAGCCCTGGGGGGAAGTGGGAGGGGGCGGGCCCTCTCAGAATGCTCGGAAGCCCCCCAGCCTTCCGAGAAGTTTCCTGAATCTCTCTCGAAGACGCAGGCAACTCCTGAGGAGGCCTTCTCCCTCTCACTTCCCCCCCTCGCTCGTCGCCGACTCTCTGCAGTGCACCACCCCTGTTCTTCGCTCGCTCTCTCGCTGGTGCGCCTCATCTTTGGCTCAAGAGACCGAGCCCGTGCCAGAGGAAGAGAACAAAGGCCCGGGCCCCGGCTCAAGGCAGGGGGGCGGGGGCAGAAAATGCAGGCCGCGAAGCGAACGGCGACGCAGCGATCCCGACTCCTCCTCCAGAGGACGCGGGTCTGTTCCGCCTGGCGCTCTTTGACCGGGAGCCGGCAGCCACCCTCGCCGCCGCCCCGCGCTCCCTCCCTTCCTCCCTCCTACGCTCCTCCCTCTCCTCCTCCTCCTCCTCCTCTTCTCCTCCTTCTCCTCCTCCTCCTCCTCCTCCTCCTCCTCCTCCTTTCTCCTCTCCTCCTCCTCCTCCTCCTCCTCCCTCCTCCTCCTCCTCTCCTCCTCCTCCTCCGCCTCCTCCTCCTCCTCCTCCCTCCCTCCTCCTCCCTCCCTCCTCCTCCTCCCCTCCTCCTCCGCCTCCTCCTCCTCCTCCTCCTCCTCCTCTTTCTCCTTCTCCTCCTCCTCCTTCTCCTCCCCCTCCTCCTCCTCCTCCTCCTCCGCCTCCTCCTCCTCCTCCTCATCCTCCTCCTTCCGTAGCCATTTTGGCTCAAGATGGCACGCCATCGCGAGCGCAGCGTAGTCACCGCTAGTCCGCGGCTAGTCCCAAAAACTTTGCAGCCACGCCCAGGGACGAGCTGCCGTCCATTCCTGCTCTTTGTTGTGGCGTTGCAGGCCCCCCTCCATGTCGCTTCGCGCCTCGTACCGGACATCCATATTGGCCCGTGCCTTGTGCCGAGCATTCTTCTAGTCTCGTCGAGCTTCGCTCCGAGCCTCCAAACCTCGTCGAACGCTACTCCGAGCCACCAGTTCGCGCTGCAGATCCCCGCCCGGGGCAGCCAGCCGACCGACATCCCCGTCCCTGCGCCGCACGCTATCGCTCTTCAAGCACGCTCTGGCATCGCATCGGACCTTGTTCGTGGCGTCCTGTGGACACTCGAGCTTTACGCGTAGTGCCCAGTCAGTTAGCATCATGGCGGCGTCTAGCTGCCGGCGCCTCATCGCGCCAAACGTCCTGCTCAATGTCTTCCAGGAGTGGATCGCGTCGGCCAACCTGCCACGCGACGCTGTCGAACTGCACGGGGATGAACCTGCCAGGCGCTTCATCCTACAGGTCAAGGGCGACAATGCCATCGCCATTCCTCGCGCCCTCGCTCTCAATCGAGCCTTACGCGACCCTGCTGGCAAGTGGAAACGCATGGAATCCACGGACACGTCTGGCGCCCGAGTCGACGTCTGCCTCGGCCCCGACAAGTCACCGAAGCAGATCCGCACCGAGATTCAATGCAAGAAGCTGCGCCGGCTCCTCCGGCAGCGCTACCCCAGCGTGTCGTGGAGGGCCATCCGCTCCAAAGGTGAGGCCCACAGCAACGCCGTGCCCATCGTCCTCCCCGAGGTCAAGGGCCGAGCCGACCCGACCATCCTCGGTGTGGGACGAGGGCGCGCTCGAGCACGACGTCTTCAGCGACCTCGACCGCGGCGGCGTCCTCACCTCGTTCCAGGCGCTCTTCGCGGACGCGGCTGCTGCCTCGTGGCGGGTTTGACCTCCCCTGGTCGCCATCGCTGGCTTCCGTGAGCATCGTTCCCAGTACCTTCATCATCATCTGGAACGCCTGGGTATTCACGTGCCACCAGCGGAAGCATAGCTTCAAGTCGGGCCTGTCCCTTTACAGGGAATATTCAAAAATAGTCAATAAATAGCCTGGGAACTATTTTTAAACTATTTTTGAGCATTTTTTTTTGGGGGGGGGGGGGGTATTTTTGGGTATTTTTAATTTGTCCGTTCAAAATCGGCCTGTAGGGGGACCGGCCCGACTGAAGCATAGCTGTCGCATGCAGGCCGCTCTGTCGAAGGTCTTGCTGCGGCGCTGCGCCGTCCTGCTCCAGGGCGGGTCCCGGGCGCCATGCCCGTGCATGCCATTCCCGTTCGTGGGCCGTTGTGCTGGCGATGCTCGCCATGGCGCAGCTCGAGCAGCTCCAGCTGCCCCAGCTCCCGTTCCTCAGCAGCTGCGAGCTCGTCACGGGCCGCGTCCAGGCCGCCACCATCACCAGTGCGGTTGCATGCAACTCACTCGTCATCATGAACGTCCATTGCCGTGAGGTCGATGTCCGGGGCCGCAACCGCGCCCTTCGCGCTTGGCACCAGCGCCGCGGCTGGGCAGAGGCCGACGCCACGCGTAGTTCACTCCTCGCCATGAGCGTCACCTTCATTGCTTGCTGCCTGCCGCGCAGCCTTCTACAGCCGCAGCCGCAGCTCACTCGTCCCGCTCCTGACAGTATCGCGCACCAGCAGCAGCCTTTCTGTAAGGGCCGCTGCGACTCGATGCTCGCTGTCGAATCTGTCCCCCCGTTCTGCTTCATCGAGCCCGACTTCGCTGCGTCTGTCGTCGATCGCATTTTCATCCGCCTGTCGTCTCCCGCCATGCCCGAGATCTACCCCACCTTCGAGCTCGGCTCCAAGTCTCGCTCGCAGACGGCCTCATTATGCTCGCGAGCGCGCGCGAGTCTGCCCTCACGTCCGCCGTGCCGTACCGCGACGACGAAGTAAGTCAGCGCTCTCTGGCTCGACGTGCCGCCCAGCGCCCTCTGGCCGCGCCAGGGGCTGTCGGGCCCGAGAAATCCCATCGGCTCCCCCGTTCTTCGCCACGCAGGGCTCGCTTGTGGGCCCCGTGGAAGCGCCGTCTGGCCCCCCCGGGGAATCAACAGCACAGGCCCGCAGGGCCTTCCAGGGGGGCTGCCAGAGAGAGCTGCTCATTGGTTGCCGCCGCTCGTGAGCACTCGCAGCCTGTCTCCATGCCCGAGTTCGCCGACGAATCGAAGGTCAAACAGGTCGTCGACGAGTCCATGGCGCGGAGCCCCACCTCTGACATCGGCGTGCCGACGAAGATCCAGCTCCACTCCTTCCTGCCCAGCGCCTCGCCATCAGCTCCTGGCCTCGTCTGTCCGCCGTGCCGTGATCGGCTTGCGCGCGAGGCGTCCATGGACCTGCTGGAGGATCTCTCATTCCACATCTGCTCCTACAGCATTTTCCCTCGCGTCCTCTATGACCCCGATTCAGCGGCCCCCCGAAGGGCGACCACCCCGCCGGCGGGCCCTTGGCGGACAGAACGCCAGAGGACGTGCGCCCGCTCTCCCTGGAGCACACTGACTTCGAGGCCTTCGCTGGGACCGCCAATTGCCTCCTCGAAGCCGCTGTGGCAGAGCGGACTCACCTGATGCAGCAAGGCTTGGTTATTGGTCGCAACTTCACCAAGCTCATCGTGAGCGTCGTTGCCGTGCGCTCCGGGGCCCCGCGGTCTCCTCAGCCCCTGCCGCAACCTGTGCCTCGCCCCGAACACCTGCGTCAAGATTGAGGGTGCGCGCCACATCGCGTTTGCGTTCAAGTCTGGCGTGGCCCAAGGTTGTTCTGCCAAGGCTGTTCTGCGCGTGGGGTCCGATCGTCCGCCTCTTCGCTTCCTTCATCGAGATTGCCGGCGGCATTCCCAACTGCGGCAATGGCCACTTGGAATGCTGCGCTGACGACATAGGCCTGCTCGCGTTCTCGTTTGACGCGTTGCGCAGCGCCTCGGAGCCATTGGCCGCTGCTGAGGGGCTCGCGCTCCTCTCTCTCTCTCTCAAGCGGCGCAGTGGTGTATCTTTCCCGCTCTTGGCACCGTTCACTCCTGCCACCTCTGCCCAGACGAGAGCTCTCCTGGCTGTTCTTGGTCCCGCCCAGGGGAGCTTTCGGTAACTACCTGGGCGAGCCGAGCACCTTAGGGCCTTCCCTGGGTCGTCGGCCTCTCTGGCGTCGCATTGGCTCGCCCCATGGCAAGCGCGGTGGCAGCGAGGCAACCTCTTCAATTTAGTCCTGAGGGGCAGTATTCCAACAGTGCGCCTCTGCATCACTTCTGTCCCGTCCATGTTCAGTCACGTCGCTCAGCCCTGCCCGCTGGTCCCAAACCTGTATGTTTCGCCGAGAGCTTTTCTCTCTTCGCCTGATGCTCAGCTTGCCACCGAACTCTTCTCGCAGCGTAGACCCAATTGCCACGGCGGGGTGGAGTCCGCCGCCGGTCCCACGCTCTGCCCAAGTCACTGCCTCCGCTATGGCAATTCGCTCGGCTTCGTCCACGCTGCGCGGCGAAGGGGGACCCTCCCTCGCCCGCCTTCTAGACGCTTCATGGGATGTGAGCACGGGGCGCTCCCACCGCAGGTGCGTCGCGGGCTCCAGGCTTCCCTCCTCATGGGAAGTGCCTGTGTCCATCGTGCTGTTCTACCACGCATTGCTGCGTGGTCAGTGTGTCGCCCCGTTTCCTGCTGCGGCAGTGGCCGCCGCGAACCGCGCTGCTGCACAGGGAAGTCGCGAGTCCGCTGCCGCCGTTCCGCCTCGCCGCCCGAAAGAGCAGCGCGCGGTCGCGCGTGCGCTCTTGTGCGCCTCATTTTCCTCGCCACTCGCTGTCTCTCTTCTGAAGCGCTTCATATCGGGGAGCACGCAGCAGCCACCTCTGCGTCATGAGATCCCCAAGCGCGGGTCTGCCCCGGCGGGCGCTGGGCGGTCATCAAAACGCCCGCCGGCGGGTGGACCTCCACGCGCCGCATGCTCGTGCTCGCCCCGAAGCCATGCGTGTGCGGGTGCCCGTATGCACCAGATTCTTGGCATCGCTCGGACGTGTGCATTTTTCCTTCGGCGAGGACCATCGAGGAGCATGCACGAAACCGAAACAAGCACAGGGAATGGACGTCCGAGCGATGGCCAGGATTCGTCTCCCCACTGCCTCTCCTTTTCCGTCCCTTCGAGCCTGCTCTGGTCCCTCGACTCTCCCCCGCCCCTCAGCACACTTACATCCGCGCCAGCGGCAGCGGCAGCGCGCCCGCCCGAGCCGGAGCGCGACACCTCGCTGCGCCAGCTGATTCGCAGGGTTGCGCTCGCTTATCTCCGGATCTACAAAATGAAGCAGACTGCAGTGCCTTCGCCAGCACACTGTAGCGTCGGCCGCAGCCGAAGCACTATTGTGGCGATGAGTCAGGTGCAGCTCGTCCGCACGGGGAGCCATCACTTGCCCTCTTCTCCGCGTCGTGCCCGCTTGCCCTCTTCTCGTCCCTGTCAGGCTACTCGAACACCTCCTTCTCCTCCTCCTCCTCCTCCTCCTCCTCTTTCTCCTCCTCCCCCCCCTTCTCCTCCTCCTCCTCCTCCTCTTCCTCCTCGTCCTCCTCCTCCTCCTCCTCCTCCTCCTCCTCCTCCTCCTCCCCCTCCTAACCCCCAGGTGGGTCCTCGGGTTCCTCGTGGGCATCGTCGCGCCCGTGCCGCTCCAGGCGGCTGGGTACGGCCTCGCCCCCATGAGCCTGATCTCCCCGCTCAGCGGGGCGACGGTGGTGCTCAACGTGCTTCTGGCGCCGGGCATCCTGGGGGAGAGGCGCTGCGCAAGAGGAGGAGGAGGAGGAGGAGGAGGAGGAGGAGGAGGAGGAGGAGGAGGAGGAAGAGGAGGAGGAGGAGGAGGAGGAGGAGGAGGAGGAGGAGGTGGAAGAGGAGGAGGAGGATGAGAGAGGAGGAGGAGGAGGAGGAGGAGGAGGAGGAGGAAGGAGGAGGTGGAAGGGGATAAGGAGGGGGAGGAGGGGGAGGAGGAGGGGGAGGAATACTAATAATCGTAGTAATCAGAATGCCACCAATAATGATAACAATAGTAAGTATGTCAAGAAAAGCAAAATGAGAAGGTGGATACTAGTAATACGAATAGTAATCATAATGGTAATACTGTCACTAATAATAAACGTACTAATACTAATAGCAATACTAGTACTACTAACAGTAACAAACATACTAATCATACTACGACCCATCGTAATAATACTAATATTAATGACGATAGTGATAAACTAAGAAACATATAATGAAGAGGAGGAGGAGGAGGAGGAGGAGGAGGAAGAGGCGGTGGAGGAGGAGGAGGAGGACGAAGGAGGAAGGAGCCGCGCGGCGCAGCGGATTCAAACTCAGGACTCCACTCCACAGGAGGGTTCGGACAGATGGGCACACTCCTTCGTCCTCATGCTCCCCCTTCTCCCGCCTGCCTCTGCCATGCTCTCCTCTGGGAAAGGCCTACCCTTCAGGGCATCAGCGCTACGCTACAGTTCTCTGCCCTTCTCTCTGGTCCCCTTCCCCAGCAAGTTTGATTTCCGCCACGAGTCTGGAACCCTTGGGGCTTTCTGGAGGCCAGGAGCTGCAAGCCGTTTCCCAGCACATGCCAGAAGCGCCCAAAAATCGCCTATTCGATCCTCGAGAGTTGGAGGCAACATTCAGGACCCCCGCCTTCTCTCCTCGCTCACTCCCCACTCCTCTTCGCTTTCCCCCTCCCCCCCTCCGTTCACTCGTAATTCATGCCCGCCCACTCCTCGTTCCTTCCCACCCCTCTCGGTTTCCCCTCTCCTGATGAAGCCCTCCTCACTCTTCCTCGCTCTTCCTCCCGTCCTTTCGCCCTCAGTCCTCAAAGGTCGAGAGCCAACTTTAGAGGCCTTCTCGAGAGGAGCAGGGATCGAGGAACGGGATGAGCGGCGGTGCCGGCAGTTCTGGTGATTATGCAATTGATGATGGTGTATGGTTGACGATGGTGATGGTGATGATGATGATGATGATGATGCTGACTATGCTGATGCTACTGATGATGGTGGTGGTGATGATGGTGATGATGCTGATTATGCTGGTGACGATGATGCTGATGATGATAATGATGATGATGATGATGATGATGATGATGATGATGATGATGATGATGATGATGCTAATGATGCTGATGATGATTATGTTGCTGATGGTGATGCTGATGACGATGCCGACGATGATGATGCTGCTGCTGCTGATGATGATGATGCCTCTGATTATGCTGATGCTGACGATGATGCAGTTGCTGCTGTTGATGCTGCTGATGATGATGGTGGTGTTGGTGATGATGCTGATGCTGATGCTGATGCTGGTGCTTGTGGTGATGCTGATGCTGATGATGTTGATGTTGTGGATCATGAGGATAACGACGATGATGATGCTGCTGATCATGATGCTGCTGATGATGATGATTATGATAATGATGACGATGATGGTGACGATGGTGTTGATCATGCTGCTGATGATGATGATGATGCTGGTGATGATGATGATGATGATGATGATGATGATGACGATGCTGATGCTGTTTATGATGATGGTGATGCTGATGATAATGATGATACTGATGCTGCTGCTGATGATGCTGACTATGACGCTGCGTATGGCTATGCATTTGTTGTTGATGCTGATGGCGAGTGATGGTGATGATGATGGTGCTGGTGAGATTGATGTTGATGGTGGTGGTGGTTATGATGATGATAAGGGTGATGGTGATGATGGTGATGGTGATGGTGATGGTGGTCGTGGTGATGATGGTGATGATGCTGATGTTGGTGATGCTGATGCTGCTAGTGACGATGATGCTGCCCATGACGATGCTGATTGTGATGCTGATGCTGATGCTGATGCTGAAGCTGATGATGCTGATGATACGGATGATGCTGCTGATGCAGATGATGATGATGCTGATTGTGATGGTAATGGTGATGCTGCTGCTGATGCTGATGATGCTGGTGATGCTGATGATGCTGACGACGATGATACTGATGCTGATGATTAGGATTATGCTGATGATGCTGTTTAGCTGATGATGATGATGATGATGTTGATGATGCTGTTGCTGATGACGATGATGCTGCTGCTGATGATGATGATGCTGCTGCTGATGATGACGACGATGACGATGATGCTGCTGCTGATGATGATGATGATGATGATGATGATGATGATGATGATGATGATGATGATGATGATGATGATGATGATGATGATGATGATGATGATGATGATGATGATGATGATGATGATGATGATGATGATGCTGCTGCTGCTGATGATGATGATGATGATGATGATGATGATGAACATCATGACGAGGAAGAGGAGGAGGAGGAGGAGGAGAAGGAGGAGGATGCCGATGCTGCTGCTGATGACGATGACGATGTTGCTGATGAGGAGGAGGTGGTGGAGGAGGAGGAGGAGGAGGAACTGGAGGCGCAGAATGAGCAGGAGGAGGAGGAGGTGCAGGAGGAGGAGGAGGAGGAGGAGGAGGAGGAGGGAGGATGGGAGAGAGAGGAGGAGGAAGGAGGAGGAGGAAGGAGGATGAAGGAGGAGGAGGATGAGGAGGAGTGAGGAGGAGGAGGAGGAGGAGGAGGAGGAGGAGGAGGAGGAGCAGGAGGAGGAGGAGGAGGAGGAGAACGAACGAACGAACGACTCTGCAGAAGGGTGCCAGATGATCCTGCCGTACCGCGGGGAACTCCGAAGCAAAAATAATGTAAGCTCCGAACTGACTCCCTTCTAGAGGGCGCGGTGACTCAATATATACTGGTCACGCGTGGCACTAGGTGCACTCTGCTCCCGCCCACCTTACCCCACCTCGGCTGGAGGGCCCCAAAGCTTTAGAGGCAGGGCTCGGCCGTGGGGACGTGGGTCGAAACTGGGACAAAACTTCGAGGCGCCAAAACAGAAAACGCAGAGCAGGGAGGCCCAGCATTATCAGTCAGAACCTCGCCTCTCGAAATTCAGGAAACAAGCCCGCTACGACTCAGGCAAGCACGAGTGGCCCCAAGGGGCCACAGAACACACAAAGCCAAAAAGTTACGGCCCTGGGGGAGGGCCGTCGCGCTTTCTGAGACCTAAAAGACCCATGACTCTGACGAGAGGGATCGGGGGAGAGGGAGGAGGAGGAGACAGGTCGGGGGAGGCGGCAGCGACGGCGAGATTATTCGGCCTAATCGAAGTCATCGGACCAGGAGTAGCCGAACTCCCTGAAGACGTGGCCGAGGGAAGAGGACGAGTAGCTCTCTGGGGTCTCGGAGATCTTGATCTCTCCTCCGTCCGAGCCGCCCTCAGGGAAGCTGCCAAGGTAAGTGGACGAGAAGGGGTGGCTCTCAACGGCGTGGTCAAAGTCGCCAAACGACCTGTCGATAGCCTCTGTGTTGCGAGCCCCAGTACTGCTTCGGACCCGCTAGGCCGGTACCCTCTGCTCTCTCGAGTCCGCTCGGAGAGTGAGCAGTGCGTGCCTGCGGGCCCTGGCGAGTCGGACCTGCAAGGTCGGTACCCTCTGCCTCCGAGCTGCGTCTCGGGAGGTGAGCAGTGCGTGCCTGCAGGCCCTTCTCTCCTCGCTGCCTCCAGCAGCCTGTCTATTACTGCGCGTCGAGGTGAATCTGCAGCAGCCTGGCGTTGTGGGAGCGTGGTGGCGCTCCGTGTTTGTGAACTCCTCCGAGCTGCACCAGAGCGGCTACGACTGTGTCCTCTATGCCTGTCGCTTTGGCCTCTATCCAAATCTTGACTTTGTCCTGCGCGTGAGTCGTCTGCAGCCTGCAATGCCGAACCTGGTCGGCCAGCTCTCCGTTGGAAGCAGGTGCGGCCTTCATGCGATCCTGGTACTCCTTGATTATCCTCGCGTTGGCCTGGCCCACCTTGTCTCCTTGTCCAACGAGTGCGCCCACCAGCGCAACCCACACGTGCGGATGGGGGATCCCCAGCGCCTCTAACTCGGGGACGGGGTCGCCGTTCTTGAGGGCGGCCTGGTTCGCCTCTCGAAGTCTCTTGGCCTCCTGCCCGTAGTACCGCGCCGTGAGCATCATCGACTGGGGCACATCGTGGTTGGCAGGGAGCTGGACGTGACGGAAGATGGCCGACTCGAGGGCGTTGATCGCTTGCTCGTGCCTGAGGGACATGCGCATCAGGATGGGCATCATCTGCTGCACCTGCGCGATCGGGATGTGCGGTAGGTTCCTGACGTCGTCTTCTCTCAGCCCGTAGTGGTTGTCGGTAGCGCCCCATACGTCGATCTGCAGCGGGGGCTGACCTGCTCCTGGCGTCGCGGCCACTGGTGCCGCTCCCCGCTGCTGCGACGGGGCTCCCCGAGCGCCTCGTCCTCGGCGGTCTCCACTCCGAGTCCGATCTCCTCGCCCACCTTCGAGATCGCGTCGCCTCTGTTCCGTCCCAGTGGCGAGAGCCCGCTCCGCCAGGTTCGACATCCAGCACAAGATCTGGGGCGGGCGGCGCGTGGGCTTCTCGTATGTGTGTCTGAAGTGCCTGCAGCGTCTGAAACGGCTCTTGAGCCAGTGTGGCCTCGGCCATTCCCTCTCTGAAAGCCTCGTGTGCTGACTCTGGATCCACGCAGATCGGACAGTGAAGGTCATCGGGCACAACCAGGGGGGGTGAATACGCACTGAAATCTGTGAGGCAGCGGCGACGGCGAAGTGACTGCACCACGTGCCTCTTGGCCAGAACCACAGACGAAAAGGTAGAGGAGCAGTAACAGCACTGGTTAGTCACCACAAGCTGGTGCATCGGGACCCTGATCTTGTGCGACGGGTGGTGGCACTGATGTGCTCTCAAGGCCGCTCTGGAGTAGAAGACGTGCCCACAGGGGTCCCCGTTCTCGCCTGGGAGGTCACAGTAGTATTCTTGAGGAGGGGCTTCAGGGACTGGTGGAACCTCTGGTGGTACCCCGTGCTGAGTAGGAGGCCGAAGGGGTCCTTCATGCTCCTGTTCCCAATAGGCCTTCCGAAAACTCTTGATACTCACGCTCTTGAAGTGGCACGCGACGCGGTAGTTCGTGAAGATGTCCCAGATCGAATAGCCTCTTTCCAGGAACTGGCGCCCA